TAACATATTATTATTATTAAATAGACATCAACACCCATGAGCAAATTTATTTTACATTTAATTTCTTAAAATACATAAAAATGCGTGGCTTGTAATAAAGAATAAACGAACATCATTTTATTTCATAAGTGCTACGGCACTTATGAGATAACACTTGAAATACAAGCATAAGAAGCACAGCAACTGTGATAAAAATATATAAATAAAGCTTGTAATTAATAGAATATGTAAAAGTTCACGTCACACCTTACACTTTGTGACGGCACACTAGGGCGCCGCGGCACGCCGGTTGCGGAATACTGGTCCGGATGATAGCACTATTGTAGGCGCGACGCATATATAGAGTAAAATGATTCAAATTTTTACAAGATATTATTATTACTGTATTTATTGTGAAATTTTGCCACCCCCTAAAAGGTAATTTTGCCGCCCCCTAAAAAGTGCCGCCCGGGGCGAGCTGCCCTGCCACCCCCACTACGCTACGCTACTGGTTATAAGAAACGAGATTCCAAGCAATATTTCTGTATTCCAACAGATCGCCATCTTTCTACGTCAGTACATTCGATACTTCTCATTGGATAGCGGCTTTCACAAACGCGAAGAAAACAAATTAGTTTGCTGTCAATTGCGACTGTACTCGGGCACAATTCACCAAATAACTGGAAAAGCGAACTGGTCGCGGTTGCCGGCATGGCCAGAATGAACAATCATGAAAACATAGCTTTAGGAAATTAATTTGAAAATGATACAGATTCTTCTATAAATTGTCATTTTGTAATTTATTTTCTCCATCAGTCGATCTGTCTCGTGTTAACACCTCTTACTTTCAAAAAAACTTTAAATTTGTTCAATATAAATTCTATAATGAGTGAATTACCGAAATTATAAATGATAAAGACGCCGGCCTGCAACTCTGGGAATTTCGTGTTCATATATCGATTGACTCAAAAATTTTCAAAAGTGATTTAATTCGGTTATATCAAGGCTTTTTTTAAAATTTTTTTCCGCCCTGTGTACAGTAAATAATATTTTAGAAAGCCCATAATGGGTGTTAAAATGTTTCCACACCCAAATAGAGCGGCCGGGACCAATATATTGGGGATGAGACCAATATATCCGGATAAGACCAATATATCCGGATAAACCAACCCCCCGAAAAATTCCTAGAGTTTTCGTCTCGTTCGGACTCGAGCATCCCAGCGGTAGGCTGCTACCTTAACCGCGCGACCATTCTGCTGTCTCTATATATCAAGGCTCGACACCTGATTATCGTTATTGTGGACTTGGGTGAACACAGTATACTGAATAAAGACCATTTTAATGTCCACACAACAAAAAATTTAAAATTATAAGCTATACAATATTGTTGTTGTTATTATTAGCTTTATTCATATTTCCTAATGTAACACAAAATTGGTTGATTTGCACAGTCTTATCACATCTTTTAGGGTAAGTTGGGCTACATCAAGAATTATTAATCCAAACAATAAGCGAGAATATATAATTCAGATTTATTTACGAATTATAAAAATATATGATTTTGAATTCTAATTAAGAAGCTTTTGAAAATAGGTGACAACTCTTAACCTTCAATCCCTATAATTCAAACGGGCCGAAAAACTCGAAGAATTTTTTAGGTAGATCGTTCGGATATGTCGGCCTCGCTCCTCTCCATCCGACCGATCCGTTACAGATTTGATTCAATTTATAACGGGCTTGATAAGAAGAGATCCTCTTAGTGTGCTAAAACTTTGCTAGAAAGATATTAACACTAAAAGTCCGATTTTAGCAATTTCATTATGGGTTTGGCTAGGCCCAAGGACTTTAAACTACAAGGATAGCCAGATCCCGTATATTTGTTAGCGTGACCTTTGATCTATGTGACGTCACAGCAAGCCCTCTACTTCAACATGACAGATCATTCAAATAACAAAATACGATAAAATATTAAATCATTTCTTAATTAATTATTAAATTACTACTAAATGTAAACTACTGTAGAATTTTCGGATTTAATAAGTGTACTGTACGTCAATAAATTTACAAGTCTTTTGTCTAATATTTATTTAACAAATTAATGAGCTATATTTTTTATTATGTGATTATCTTACTTAACTTTTTAATTTTTTTTCGACAATCACCATTTTCAGAAGGCATTCTTTTCAATATTTTATAGTTTTCTTGTTTAAGATTTCTATAATTAATTCTTATTATAGTTCTTAATTTACAAAAATCTTTTATTAAAGTAAAAGGTAAAACTGTTTCCACTGACTAATTCTGTACAACTCCGGGGCCTTTTTTATACGATTCATCGTGATATATTTCGAAATATTTATTCCATTCTATAATTTTTGCTAGCCATTCATCAGTAGGTTTAATAAGCCCTCCATAAGATAAATGTTGCACCCATGACGGAATGCTATAGTTGTAATGATTTTTAATTTTGTTAGTGGAATTAATTAAGTTTGGGTATTTTTCTTTATATTTATAGGCAAAATATCCTGCTATATACTCGAGAGCATCGTAGGAAGTTTCTTCAGAGATTGTGTTAAAGTCTAGATTGCATGTAGAGTTTCCTGAAGATTTATTTGAAGAAAAAGTAGTTTTACATTCAGTATATTGGTCTGTATTTTCACTTGATACTTCTACATGTGCTTTCTCTAAAACTTTGGGTATAATATATTCCTCTTGTCTTCGATCTGTAGTATTTACTTTTGACTCTAAAATACCAGGATTCTTACCTAAAATAATCAATCTAATCCTATATATAGCATTTAATGGGCTTGGATGTTCATTAGGACCCCGGCTTCTAATTTGAAAAAAAAAAATTTTTTCCAGACAATCTTGATTTAAGTGCAGATGTATTTTATATCAAAAGTCGATTTCATATCTTGAAAAAGATCAATTAGCGATTTCATTGAGATTATCATTCCTTTCTGGAAAATTTGGAGGGCATTTTTTCCACTTGCTCTCATTGTTGAGATTATTTTTATCATTTTATTTAAATGTTCTTCTTGTAATTCCAAGTCTACACCATATCCATTTTTGCTTGGAACAGAACCTTTTGGTGCATAGCTATTAAAAATGTCGAACCACATATTTATATCTCTAATATACGTTTCATTGATAATAATAATTGATTCATAATAAACGTTTCATTGATATTCACATTCAATTCTTTCCATAAACTTATGTTACTGCAACTACAGTCACTGACGCAAGCTACTACATTATACGATAGTAAATAAAGTTCTGCTATTAATTTTAAAAGTATTTCTCTTGTCATTTTTTGATCAAACCCGATGTAAACAGGTTGCTTCCAATTTGAAAAAAGAAGGTTATTATTGCAACCATACACAGCACACCTAGTACTCAGCATTTTGTTCTTCACCTAACATAAAAATATAGCTTTAAATATTTAATGACTTATATTTAAATCATCTTACCTTATAAAAAACTTAGTCAAATAAAACAATTACAGAAATATTAAAATAAATCACTTCGTTAATCACAAAATTGGACGAATATTAAAAGCGAAAACTAAACACGTGCACACCCTGCTCTATGTAAACAGAGAGGTCAGGACTCGTGCTGACGTCACTAACTTGCCATTCCTGGCTAACATTGTAGAATAGGGATCTGGCTATCCTTGTAGTATATAGTCCTTGGGCTAGGCCCACAATGAGGTCGAGTGATAAAGCACGGGTCCCACGTATCCCGATGGATCAATCCCGATTAATTCCTAGGGTTTTCGATCCGTTTGGATGCGAACCTGGTTTTCAGAGCGGTAGGCTATATCCGTAACCGCTCGGCCATCCGGCCGAGAGATCGAATGCAACACAATTATGCTACACAATTAATTAGAATATAAACCCGTTCATTACGAAAACCCGCTAAACCGGAAAAAATATTCGTCAACGTGTGGCTACACGCCTGTTTTCTCTTATTAATATTATTATTATTATGTGTTGGGTTTAGTGGGTTATACTCAGTACAAACCGGTGGCTGTGTACTATGCCGGACCAGAGTCAAGGCATAGCAACCAAAACAAAACTAAAATTAAATGTGTGTGTCAGTGTCTGTATTAAGGAATTTCCTAACANAATCTGTATAGTTTTAGTTTAATTTAAATTCTAGAATTTTCCTTCCTTCCAATTTCTTTGTTCCTTTGTCTCGAACTTCCGAGAACTCGACTCACCCCTAACCCATCAGGGGGTAGCCTTAGAACAAAAGGGAGAAAACGGGGCAGGAAGAGACGTGAAAACAAAGGGTTTTTCGACATTCTCGGGCCGGACTCCGAGAGAGAAAAACGAGCGGCAAGAGACTCCGAAACGGAAAGTGGGGAAGTGCTGCAGAAGGAGGCCATAAGAATCGGATCGCAGAAGAATCCGATCGTTGATTATAGAAAAGGAAACCCCGAAACGGACCCGAATTGTTCTAAAAGGGGAACAGCTGCAGAAAGAAGCCGAGACGAGGAACGGTGGAGAATCAACGGAAAAATTGGGTACCCTCTGTCCTTTAATTCTTCCTATTTCCCCTTTCTATCTTTTCTATCTCTTAGTTTAATTTAGTTTTAAGTTAGTTTTAGTTTACGCGCACAACTAAATTGTCGGGAGGTAGTTACCGAGAAAGAAACTACCGGTCTATTGGTACATCTGATTGCTCGGGATTTTGGAAACGTGTGTAGGTAAACAGCGGGAATCCGAACTTATTCTGTATATATATTAATGTTAGTGCGAAATTAAACTTGTTTAATTAGTAAAACGTGTCTGTGTTTTCCTGTCCGCGCTGTACATTTTCACAAACGTACGATTCCGGTTCCCACAGGTTATACCGTATTGACATAAATATCCACATTTAAAAGTTTTTAAAATTAATTAATAACTGACGCAGTTTATTTTATAGATAATTGCAACAAATATTAATAAAAAGAAAATTTAGGAATCGAGTAAATATTCGAAATTGATTTATTATTTAAGAAAAGACGTTAGAGGGCACGATTTACGTTCGTTGACTCCTGCAGACCGGTCACGTGACGTTGCCGATAATCGGATCGGAGAGTGAAGAGTAGAGTTTACAACGTCTAATTAAGCGTAATTAAAAGTGCTACTTAAACAAATATGTCCAATTCGCAACCGGTATCGATACAGCGAGGGATCGTGAAACAGGTAAAAGCAAGATTCGTCGGTCGAAACCAATTAATTCGAATTATCCGAAGCTGGTCCATATGGAAAATGATTACGTGGCTTCTTTACCTCTTAAGAGATTTGATACCGTACGATCCACTCGAAATCGTCTCCTTTTAAGCCTCGCAGCTGCAATTTATGTGTTAATTGAGCACCTTATGCCCGTTAGGGCATTAATCGCTTTGTAATTTAACTTCACCACACAGTTGCTTCAGGTTCACTGGGTGACTACGGTCGGTAGGATGATGAGGTAAATTGTACTTCTACCGCGGGACGAACTCGAGTGAAACCAGTTTTCTCCGGTGTGTGGACAGTGGCTGGTGGCAGAGGTGACAGCCCCTCATCCGTGGGCAGAGCATGGAGGGTGGTGGGGACCTGACCATCTCTGCCACCGTTTCCATTGGCACTTCTTTGTAAATCTTTTGCAGAATACTTACTTTGACTTAGATTGGATGGGGTGGATTCCCCAAACCGACGAAAAAACCGCCTCATCCAATCTGTTTGACTCTTTCAGTGGAGTGAATTTTGGCACCGATGCTGAGACGGCATGTACATTTTGACCTTTTCATCTTTGTTTTATTGTTTTTTAAACATATCTTTGGCTTGATGTTAACTTATTTTACAAATTTGTTGGGAAATTCAGATTAGATACGACTCTAAATGATCTGGATGGGTCGTCCTTGGCGAATGTTCTCTCGGTGAAATTTTCGACAACTTTTCACATATTTTACTAATACTCAAGCCATTATGTTGATTTATTATGTATAGGTTGCTAGGATCACTCCTTAGAACTGTAACGATGTAATCTTCCTGGCATTAACATTATGACCTAATTTTTATTTGTTTTAATTTTTTGGGGTCATGAAGGAATGTTTGTGAATTTTTAATATTTTGGTGGAATAGAAATGATATAATTTGACTTAACCTGATAAATTGCTAACTAAGCCATTTTTATTTATAGAATTTGAACTGTTTTTACATGTTTGCATAAATTTAACATTAAATTTAAGGATGAAACTAGGTAAAATGGTATAAAAATCAGTGTGCGACCTCCACATTATTTGATGTTGGTGCCGACAGAAATGAATTGTAGTAAGACAATGTAGTAAAACTAAGATATATGTTTTGAGTAAAGTAATGCATTATGAATTAATGTTGGAAATTTATAAAAAATGGTATCGAGAAGACATTTTAGCAAGATCGTTTCACACGTATGTGACAAGGACAAGCTTTAATTGACCTTACTTTGTTGGGAATGACAGTAAGCTGTCAGACAATATTATATTACTTCACCTATAGTGAACTATTGTAAATGTGCATGTGATGTGGGTAATAAGACATTTGTGACCATCCCAGATTTAGCCAGCCTATAACTGAGATAGCCAGTTAGCAAGAACAGGACTTGACTTTTTGTGGATGGTTTGATTCAGATTTGTTATAACTAAGTCTGGATTTTTATGCACATGCATGTTTTTTTTTAAATGTCATGATGTTCAAACCTCGATATAAACACAGTTTGGTTCCAGGTAAATTATACATTATCAGACAACCTCAGTTTAACAAACTGAGGTTGTCTGATAATGTATAATTTATATGCATTTTTAAAAATGCATATAAAATGTACTTTTGTGACTTTTATTGCATACTTTGCATGTTTTCAGGACTAAATAAATGCTTTATAAACTACATATCTTGTTTTTAGGATTACACGAGTGCTATTTTTCAATTGATTTATAGTTTGTTACTGCTATGAGTGAAGTGAATCTTTTTTTCTCATGTACAGTTCACATGAGAAATATCATTCCATCATCCAAATACACATAAGCACACAAAACTCAAATGTTTTAAATTTGAACTCTCATTTTTTTTAAAGTGCTACAAACAAAGATGTTATTTAATATTAAATTTAAATCCTTCAAAAATTTGTGTAAATATAATGTTTAATTAAATATAAGGTAAATAATTTTTTCTAAGTAAAGTTGTCAAACTTTCTTATATGGAGCATGCACGGAAATGATTCTGTTATGTCGAATTTGGTTCAGTTAAAACGGCAAAAAATAATTCAGAATTGCAGAAAAAGTATGTATGGTATGAGAGTTTGAATCCTAGACATTTAAAGGAGATAGCGTTTGTGATATCAATTGGGAATAAAACATTACTGTCAACTTCAATACTAAGTCTATAATTAGTTAATAACTTTATAAGAGCATTTCTCATACTGTGTATGGAGCTAAAAACAAAATATATGACTACTTTAGACTAGTGATGTGACTACAGGATGAGGGAAACTATCAACACAGCCATCCTCAAACATCTTGTAAACAATTGTGTGTATAGAAATAAATTCAATAATGATTAAGCATAGAAACTTATAAGCTTTTATTAAACATGTAATTTGATTTGTAATTGACTCAATTGCACAACTCCAACACAGAACATTATTCTAATGTGTGGTTTGTGACATCATAATTTTAAAATCACTAATGTTGCCTAATGTAATGTTTTTCTCCTTCCACCTAAAAAATATGATGTAAAGGTGGCTTCGTGCATTCAGAATTTACCGATTGCCAAATAATTGCCTGTTCGTCCCCTTTTATTTGGCACACTATACTGACAAGGAGTGGAAAACAGCGAATACCAAATATTAGTCACAAATAAATCAGCTACACTACTCGATATTAGCCAAATGTTTGCTTGCATTCAGCAAATACACGTATCCCTTCATTAACATGGTTAATTAATCCCTTGATCCTACCACATATATCAAAATACAGTGTCTATGTTAAGTAAAGACAGCTGGTAAAACCATGTAAATTAAAACTTCTGTTGTGTTTATAAAGGGATTGTTGCAATTAATTTTGCACATTAAGCAAAACTGGGTTAGGTGAGGGATACCTGTACCAAATGTGTGGAGCCATCCTAATATATGTTAGATTTACTTGCAGACAGAAATAAACTATGTATGTACAGTAGAGCATTGATTATCCGACCCCCGATCAACCGTTTGGTTAACCAACCACATTCTAGTCGGCAAATTCAAATGTTTTCTAGTGATGTGGCACTACAATATTTGGCTATGTCTTGGCTACTTTAATATTATTTTTACATGTTTTAGTTGGCAACACTGGCTTGACCATGAAAGGGAGCCAGTATTTAAACGAGGCTTAATTTTCCAATTTTTAACGATACAATAGCAATGATTATTATTTAAAAAATATTTTTGTTAGGCTTGACATTGATGAAAATTCAACGCGAAGTAGGTTAATAGCAATAAATCTTACCTAGCGATATACTAATATACTAATTACATGGGATATACAAATATACTATACTAATAATGTATTTTTTCATATTTTTCTGTTATCCATTTTTTCAGTTATCCACCAGCCCCAGTCCCCAATTGAGTCGAATAATCGATGCTCTACCGTATTTCAACCTACAAGTTTTAGTGTATTTTAATAACTGTTTTAACATACGTAATGCATATTTCAGGCATTTTTACATGTGTATGTGCATATATTGCAGTTTTAAATGCAAATAAATCCAGTTGTTAATTATGACATTTTGACCCTGAATCAAAGTTGGGTCTCCTAGAATTGTTCAAGTGCCACAGTATACCAAGCTTGATGTAACAGATGGTAGACTTTTGTATTAATGGCAGCCAGATGGCCTCATCAATGTGCAAATTTTATAACAGATGCGGCTTTGCTATCTCAAATATCCAAAAAGAAAAGTTCATAGTACTTAGTTATTTAAAATGGAATTACTGTTATTTTATTCAACTTATAAGTATTATTACATAATGCATTCCTGTTGTTTTTGGTCATTTCTGCAGGATTATGTTTGTCTTTTATTAATCTTACTGATTTATCATACATTACATACAAACTCTATACTTTAAATGACAAGTCTTGTCTTATTTGGCCTACCAGTGGCCAAGTGGATAAAACTGCTAAATGCTGGTAGTTGGCCATAAGTTTACATCTCACTAACAAGCCGACCATGTGGAGTTTTTTCCAGATTTTCTTTGCATTTACACCTAATAACACCTAAATAGAAGTCAGTTTCCCATAGGAAGTCCTTCCGGGTGACATTTTCCTCCGCAGATTGCCCATGTGTTGTGTTGCCGTATTCAGTTTAAGCCAACCAAAAGGGGTGGTTTGGTTTTATCTTATAATTTGCTTAAAAATGAAATAAAATTTCAAGTAAGTTTCTCACAAGTTGGCAATTGAATCTGAGAATCTGCTACAGAGAGATTATATTGTGTATTCTGCAGGTAAAGTAGAATTGTATAGGTGTACAATATTTATTCTTGTCATAAATATTGTGTTCAAAAATTTATTTAGCAAAGATAAAGAATCCATTATTTTTACATGTGGGGAAAGAATGTTAGAATAAATTGATGTGCTATTCTGTTAAATTATATAAAAAGTATTTCATTTCTATTTTTATAAGTAGTGTCGAGATGGTATTTGGTATGATGCTGACCCATCCACTCTTCAAACTCCCAAAAATTGATCAACAGTTGGTCTTTGAATGCCTAATAAGAGCTCAAAATTTACTCCATTGTAATTGTTGATAGATTATGAATTTAAATATTATTGGACTTCGAACTCACATTTGAGTTATAAATAAACACTTGGCTTTATTTCCATCATTTTTAGTTGATAAATAAAAATTGCTATTTTTATTTTCAGATATGTATGTGATTATGTCTAAGACTCCTGGATACTGTCAAATATATAAAAGATCATTTATAACAAATTTTAATGAAATTACTCCACTTATTGTTAAATAAGTTGTGCGCGCCAATTAAGACCTTGTATTAACTCCTAGATCTTATTAGGGGGTCATCAGAATTCAACCATCTCTAAAATTTTAAAATATCTTAACCAATGTTTAGGTCATATTGTAGATAAAAATGCTAATTTTTCACCTAATTCAAATTATATTATTTGTACAAAAGCTTAGAAAACTCCAGA